AGAAAGAAATTGTCTGTTTGTGAAGCAATGAACTTGAAGTAACTTACTTTTTAATATTTCATTTAATATTTTTATTTTATGTGTACAAGTGTTTTGCCTGTATGTATGTATGTGTACCACATGTGTACAATGTCTGCAGAGGCCAGAAGAAGGAATTGGGTTCCTTGGAACAGGAATTATGGATGATTGTTAGCCACCATGTGGGTGCTAGGAACTGAAGCAAGAGCAACCAGTGCTCTTAACCACAAAGCCATATCTCCAGTCCCTTGAAGTAAGTCCTTTATGTGCTCTTCCTAAAAAGTATGCTGTTAATTATATATCTTGGCAGAGCGTATGGATTGTATCATGGAAATACAGTCTTATTCATGGAGTGGGCTGGGTGGCATTTATCTACATGGGGTACATCAGTTGAATCTTTGCTTCCCAAACTGAAACAAAGACAGGCATGATTGCCTCATGCTTGAATTCCCAGCACTTAGGAGGCTGGGACAGGAGGACTGTGAGTTTGAGGACAGATGGGCCACATGGTAAGTTGCAGTCAACTTGGGTTATAATGTGAGATTCTGTCTCAAAAAAAAAAAACAACCCTTCAAAATGAATGAACAAACAAGAAGCAGATCAAGGACAAAATGAGATAATAATAAAACATAGCACATGGTAATTAAAAGTACCAAACTTGTAGATCTAACCTTATTGGATGTTTAGCAGCCATACTTTGAGGCCTACACTAATCTGGTCAGAGGTACTTAAAAGTTTTTGCTCCTTGCCCGCCAAGGTCAACTAAGTTCCAGGTGACTATGGAACACCTCTCAAAATGTCCTGTAACTGAGGTGAGTCACCTGTCCTCTTGTTCAAGGAGACCTCACCCCTAAGGAGCAGATCCTCAAAAGGCCTTAATTGTAAGAAAAAAATTGACTTATTTGGGCCAACTGTATGGTCTTAAAGACCCAAAATGAAAGTATACCAAAGAGTAAAGTCATCAGTATATTTCTTTAAGAGTTCAAGGGATTACACTTCCCAGACACTAGGCTTACATCCATATAAAAAGTTATTTAGACAATTATTTCTCATTGATGATTTTGATCCTAATCAGAAAGTGCTGCTCAGATGTAAGACTTCAAATCTTGGTCTGCAATACTGTGGTGCACGCCTGTAGCTAAGGGAGACAACCCACTATTGCTCTAAAACAATAAAGTTGTTTTCTCCCCCTATCTAGAAGCCGTTATAAAGAGGCATCAGAGAATGCCTCTTGTCTACCTAACATGTGAACACAGAGCGAGATGGCCGCCATCTTTGAAGTGGGAGGCATGTGTTCTTACCAGAACCCACGTCTGCTGGTACTTGATTCTCAAGTGCTGTCCTTCTCAGCCTCTAGAAGCGGGAGTAATAATTGTCTGTGGGTTGTAAGCTATCTAGTTTAAGCATTCTATTAGAGCATCCCAAGCAGACTAAAGTATTGTCCCTCATAGGACACAGAGAATAACTGAGCAATAGCATTTGTATCTCCAGATCTCTAGAATAGGCAAAATGAAACAGAAATCACCTTTGAACAGTTTTATAGATTATTATTTTGTAAGGCACAAAACAACCTTTAAAGTGAAGCAGAACAAATCTTCAGAATGAGTATAGTATTAAAT